TCCTCCTGACCAGAGACAAAAGCCTGGCAGATCAAAACAAAGACCTTATGGGCCTTTTTCACTGCCAGCAGGGCCCCTGCTGATGGACAGGCTCAACAGATTCAAGGTTGGATTAGGATATGATTGCGCAACAGTTGTGGACCAATCAGCCATCCTGTCTTTCTTCAAACTGACCAGCCCCAAATCAGGGGAGGAAGACCCTTTAGAGACTTCAAATCCCCCTCCCTGGAGAGGAGGCTGGACTTGCGGCTTCCTGAGTGCCCATTCTGCGCATGCGTGTGTCTCCTCAACCCTAATAAAAGCCTCTCTTCAAGCCCTGATTCTGTCTGCTCCAGTCTGCTGGATCTGAGATTTCTCCACTGTTACAAACCACATAGATCTCTCCTGCCTTTTAACTCTGTAACTGGCAGAGACAATGAACCCAATCAAGATTCCTAGACAGTAGCAGATGCATGGGCCCTCACACTGCACATACACAAGTTCCTATAACACACACACACACACACACACACACACACACACACACACACACACAAAGTTACTAGTCCAAGAGAAATGGAGAATGTAAAGAAAACCATCCCTTCTCCCAGAGATACACTAGAAACCACTGGATAAGTCACCAGATAAGTGAGAACAAGGCAAAGACAGCATTTTTATTTTATATGTTTTAGATAGGATTATTGGAAAAGAGTGATATTGTGGAATATTATTTTAACTGGGCAGAGATGTGTTACATTTGTTTATGATGTATTTGTTTAATTGTGTAAAGATTTGTTGCATTTGTTTCACCTTGCCTGCCTAAGGCACCTGATTGGTCTAATAACGAGCTGAACAGCCAATAGCTAGGTAGGAAAATGATAGGCAGGGCTGGTGGGCAAGAGAATAAATAGGAGAGATCTAGGTTCAAGAAGAATGAGAGGAAGAAGAAGGAGGAGAGAACAAAGGAGATGTCCTGGACCAGAAGCCAGGTAGACACCAGCCAGCAGACAGGAGAAGCAGTGAAATAAGATATACAGAAGTAAGAAAGGTAATGAGCCCCAAGGCAAAGGGTAGATAAAGAGAAACAGGTTAATTTAAATTAAAAGAGCTAGCCAGAAACGTGCCTAAGCTAGGCCGAGCATTCAAAACTAATAAGTCTCTGTGTCATGATTTAAGAGCTGGTTGGTGGCCCCAAAGAAAAAGCCTGGTACAGAGTGTTGCTGGTGGCCATGTCAGAGGAGTAGCAGGTGGCAACTGAAGTTCAAGGTGTCAGTCCACCAGGAGGAAACTCCCTGATGGGTGAATCCTGGATAGGTAAGGGCCCAATACCACAGACTCCAGACTAGCTTTTGTTCTGCTGTGCCTTTGCATGTTTGACCCCGCCATCTCTCTCTGGTATCTGGCACGGTGTGAATGGGTGTGGGGAGATCCCCACTGCCTGTAATGTAGTGTGTTTGTCTCATGGAAACAACCCATTCTCCTGGGCATTTTTACCTGTGGATTATTATGAAGGTGATTTCTTCCTAAGCTGTACTGTCTAAGTGATAATAATAATGTTAGTTTAAATAGAGTTCTGATGATTAAAAATACAAACAAAGAAGTGTCACACAGCTACAACACATAAGTTTCTATTGAGGAGTCATTTAAACTGTGGCTTAGGTTAATGATGAAGAAAATAATTGAGTCCCAGTTAGCCCAGCTAGCTTAAATTCTTTTAACCTTAATGTTGGTATGCACAGGTTTCAGAATGCATCACAGCTGAAACAAAGCTTTGAAAATAACTTAAAGTTAGACTAAGATGTTTTCATCAAATAGCTTTGAGGTGGAAAACCCAAGAAGATAATCTAAAGTCTTAGAAAGGCACATAGTTGAATGCAGAACTCTTTAAGGTCATGGAGCAAGAACAAAGCAGCCCAATTATTTCTAGCTGATGCACTTTTCTTGCTAGGATTGGTTGATGACCAAAGGTGATAATTACTTTCTTGAACCCATTTTTGCCCTTAATCTCCTGATATAAATAACTATTGATGAATGGGTATGCACTCTAAATATTTAAAGTAGAGCTGATTGATTCTTTTTCATATATAAAAGTTTAGATTTGTGATTCCTTTATAAGATAAGTAATAAAGTAATTGGTCCTTTCTTTGTAACTGCAAAATCACAGCCTGCCAGTAAAAGACCTGACTAAGAAAAATATCTTGCTTGCCTACATGGTTAATACATAACAAGTTGCTTGGGTATCAATGTACGTGGGTTCTTGGGGATAATGTGTTTTTCACTTGTAATACGTAAAATGTTTGATCATGTAAGGGATGAGGAAAACATGCTGCTTTTTTACTGTTTGTTTTGTATTTATTGTAATCATTCACTGGAAAAACAGAATGTAACCACAGTGTAATTTTTATATTCCCTGAAAGATTTTGCTGGGGTATATAAGCCATAAGAAAAAGAATAAAGAAAGCATTAAAATTAGCTAGAAGGAAAACATCAGGAATGAGAGTTAGAAGGAAAACATCAAGAATGAGAGAAGGAAATCACCAGGAAAATAAAGAATAGAGAATGCAAAAGAAGAATTAAGGAAAAGTTCTGAAGGAAACCATCAAAAGAGAGTGTGAATGTCTTTTCCCTTAACCCCCTTAGATAGAAAAGTCTAGTATGCGTGGACACTGTGGATTCCCTTTGAGCCCTGCGCTGCTGGGAGGCTGGTCCCCCCAGATGGCAATAGAGTGTACTGGTTAAAACTTAGCAACTAAGAATCTTGAGTATTGCCCACAGAGCGGCAATGTGGAAGGAGTGTCAGCCGTCAGGGTAAGGGGCTCCAAGTGGTCCTGGAGTGACAGCATGGTGGGGTTCGGACTCCTGCAGGGCTCCGGAAGTTTGCACTGCTTTGGTTTGTTAGATGGCGAGGAACAAGCAATACAGGGGAAGTGAAGCTCCCTTCTTTCTCCCTTCCTTCTGCAGCTCCTGAAAGGAGAATGGCTTGCAGATCTGGTAACAGGAGTTATTTACCCAAAAAGGAAATGCTTTAAAGGAAGGTAAAAAGCAAGTCAAATGTTACAAGCCAATTTGGGGAAACGTCACTGTGTGAGAATGAGGTGGGTGCCAGGTGCCGGGCTCAGAGCCTAATAATGCCTCACCTTGTTACGTAATACCTAGGACTTACCCTGCACCTCCTCGGCACTTTGCGCTGCATTATAGCTCCTAGGATGGTACAGAACACACCGAGAAAAAGGGATGCAGGCAGATTCTCAAGACAAGTCTCAAGACAGCCAGAAAGAAGCAGTCTGTTAGCGTAGGGGCGGGTTATCTTTTCTCCGCGGCCTGGGATAGCGTCTCCCCATCGCCTCTTCTAGACTCTGTGATGCAGTCAGGGATGCTGTTTAGAGATTTTGACTGACATGAGATAATGATGTCAAAACGTGTTTCAGTTTGTGAGACATGGCACAAACATGATGAAACATTTCTGGGTTTTCATCCCAGAAGATTTTCAGGGGTGAAAAGTTTCAATGAATGATGGGGCTTCATTATTTTTATTTTTATTTTTTCATTATTCATTTTTTTTTAATTTTTTAAAAATTATGCATATGTATGCCTGCAGGAATATGAGTGAATCATTCACGTTCAGGAGCCCTTGGAGGGCCAGAATGGGTGCCTGATTCCCTGGAACTGAGGATACAGGCTATTGTAAGCCAACATGCAGGTTCTGGGGACGGCACTCATGTCTCCTGCAAGAGTACTCAGCACTCTTAGCTGGTGAGCCATCCCTCCAGCTCTGAGTGGTGGGACTTTAATCAGAACCCAGACCTGGAAACCTCACCTCTGCACAGTGGTGTTCCTCCACAATCTGAAATTATGACTTCTGTTTTCATTTTTCAAGACAAGGTTTCTCTGTGTAGCCCCGGTTGTCCTAAAACTTACTCTGTAGACCAGGCTAGCCTTGCACTCACAGACATCCACCTGCCTCTGCCTCCTGAGTGTTTTTATTAAAGGTGTGTGCCATCACTACCCTCGAGCTGAAATTAAGACTTGAAATAAACAAAACAAACAAACAAACAAAAAACGCCAGGGTTTATAAAATTCTGGAGCCAGTGAGATGGATCAGTAAGTAATGGCCTTTCCCACCAAGCCTGGTGTCCTTAGCTCAGTCCCTAGTGCCCATATGGGGGAGGGAAAACATCACCACCCACAAGTCGTCCTCTGACCTTTGCACACATGCCACACCATGTGCACCCTCAAATAAATAAATAAATAAATAAATAAATAAATAAATAAAAATTTAGAGGGGGAGGTGGGTCAGAGGTTAAGTGAGCTAGCTGCTCTTACAGAGGACCAGAATTTGGTCCCCAGCACCCATGTCACACGGCTCACTCCCGCCTCTAACTCCAGCTTCAGGGGTCCACCCTCTTCCCGCTTCTGGGGCATGCCATCCATGCAGCACACACAGGCACACATTAGGAAAAACCAAAAACCTCTGCCTAAATAACACAAGAAGGTATTCTCTTTCTCTTACTTGATCTAAAATGGAATTCTAAAAAAAGAGAGAGAGAGAATTAAAAAGGGAAATATCTATAGCACAGATCTGATGCTGAAACATCTGCTGTGCAAAATGAGGCATTCCAGCATGAGTTCCCAAGTGAGCCCGAAATCCAACAGTACCAGTGTGTGTACAAGGCAGACCACACCTACCCTGCGGAGCCAGAAGCGGCAAGAGAGAAGGGTGGCCTGATAGCAAGCTTGATACCCCACAAAAGCAAATATATACTCAGGCTACCTGAAGATAGTATTGCTTTAAGCCAGGTGTGTGGCATGTGCCTGCTTCCCAGGACTTGGAGGCTGAGGCAAAAGGATTCATGGCCAGCCTGGGCTACAAAGTGAATTTGAGGCTAGCCTCGACCTCATAACAAGACCCTCTCTCAAAGTACCAGGAAAAAAAAGAGAATTAAAACTAAAAATCAATATTGCTTTAACACATGTATAAAATGCAGCCAAGCCACACCTGGATAAGCGGCAATGGTTCCAGGCTCCTCGGTCAGGAGGATGTGAGTGGAGGACCATGTGCCTTCAGTCCAGGGTCCTCTGGCTTGTTACATTGTTTTCTTTCTAATGCTGGCATTGTTTTCAGCAGGAGGGAGGAAACAGGAGGCCAAGATATTGGCTGCTTTCCATACAACTATTAACAATTCATTTCCTTCCCCTGCCTCCGGCCAGAACAGTGGTTTCTTTAATCCTCACAGTGCCCAGTCCTCAGAGGAGCTTTCAGAACTCTGAGCCTTCTGACCCAGGTTTGATGATTGACACCGGCGGCTGAGACAGGAGGAGCTCAAAGCTCTGGAGTTTAGGGCCGGCCTGGTCAGCATTATCAGACTACGTCTCTTTAAAAGGTGCTGGATATTCTGGTTCAGTAGGTATGCTTATTGCTGGTCATTCCTGTGATCGAAATACGTGATAGAAAAATGACTTCTTTTTTTTGAGACAGGGTCTGTCTGGCCTGGAACTCGCTCAGTAGACCAGGCTGACCTTGAACTCACAGAGATCCACCTGCCTCTGCCACCACAGTACTAGGACCAAAGGTGTGCACCACCGATCTCAGCAACAGAAGCAACTTAAGGGAGAGTTTTATTTGGGTTCCGGGCTTCAAAGGGTTCCAGCTTTCTGCAGCAGACAAGGCATCGTGGTCTGGCTCTGTAGTGGGGGGCACTGTGATAGAAATCCTCACGGGTTAGTGAGACCCAAGTTGACATTGTCAGCTTGACAGGATCTAAAATCGCCTGGGGCACGGATATCTAGGCACGCCAGTGGAGGGAGTGTCTTCACTGCATTAACTGAGGTTGGAAGACCCACACCCCTTGGAGACTAATAAGCAGGTTCCGGCTATAACCCTCAGAGGTCTGCCCCCACGGACCTGCTGCCCACAGCCTGGCCCCTCCCACAACCTCCCAAGAAACGATGCTATCTCTGGGGATCAGACCTTCCAACACACGAGCCTGTGGAAGACATCTAAAATTCAAACCATAATTATAGGCGTGGTGTTCCTATGTTAATCACTATGGAGAAACACCTGGATGATTAACTTGCAAAGGGGAAGGATTTACTTTGGCTCATGATTCAGAAGAATGCAGGTCATGGTCAAGTGTCCTCATGGCCTTGGCCTCTGATGAAGCCATACATGGGAGGTGAGAGTGCATGGCAGAACAAAGGTGACTGCCTTGTGACAAGAAG